TTCTTCGGAAAGAATTTATACCGGAAATTAACAAACAAGCAGATATGCAACAATATTTAATCAATGTAATTACTACTATTCAAGAAATTTAGTATTATATATCAATTTTATCTAATACTATAAATAATCAAGTTAATTAATTAATTCAGTTAATACCGTAAGTTACTATAAATTACAGAAAGACATATAAATTAGCCCCTAGTGTCACAATTATAAGTCTGAAGGCTTATAGCGCTAAAAACCGGGTTTTGATACCCGTGATGGGCAGAGTACAGATAGCTCATTTTGTAGCTTTGCGCTTAACGATAAACAAAAAGTCAATTAATCGCGAAAGTAGTGCACATTACTTAGTTACAATAGTAAGGAACGGATATTCAAACGAATTTATTATAATAATAAATACTGACCTGATGGCAATGAATTGTTTTATCCAGGAAACATCAGTAACATAGATTTATATAATTATCTATGTTTGATGTTTTTCGATCTTGGAATTCTTGGTAAGTCATTTTTTATATCTTATAAAAAAATACCTTTTATTGCATAAGTTCCTTAAGGTTCAACTGTTGAAATCGCTAGGGTTTCATCAGAGGATTAAATATTATTTAAAACTTTTTTTTTATCCTTCGTTATTTTTTTACTATATTATATTTATATATGCGAAAAATTGCAATATGGGCATCTGGTGGGATAAAATTGCGTTAATGTAAATAGGTACGTGAGTGTCACCAATTTAGGCCTAAATATGTTTATTTTATTTTTATGAATTGTGTTGTTTAATAATTTATTCGAGATTCAAAAGATCTGTAAGCGTGAGTTATCTAATGTTATTCTATATTTTTTGGCTTTAACTTACACAATTGACGTTGTTCTGGGATATCGAATATCGTGGAAGGAAGCAAATTTAGTATCAAAATTCAATTACACTGACGACTTTAATTTTAAGTTTACGTCGTTTTACAAAGTTTTGGCTGAAACTGAAACTCAAATTTTCGTTTGATTTTCAGTAAACCTGAGGCTATTATGAACGTTATTGGGCTTATTACAAATAATAGTAACGTTGTAATATTAATACTCTTATGTTCTGTATAAAGTATTAGGAATTTTTTTAAGGATTGTCTATTACTTATATATAATAATGAATACATCATGGTCGTGGACAAGGAAGTGTATAATGCATAGATCTGTATTAAATAAAGTAAATGATGTTCCACGAACAGGATTCAAATTCAGAGAACCTATTTTAAATGAAACTTGTGAACGAAAATTTCATTTCTTACAAGTAACAGATAAGTCTAAAAAGCTAAAACACAATTATAAAAGAAACTTGAGAATGCTAATTAAATTCTGTAATGTGGGTGTGAGTGCATCCCATACTTCCCGTGCTGGAACTTCAGTTGAAAAGCTCATGGAACCACAGACTAAACAAAAAATAAATTATCATGGAACTCTGGAAGAGAAAAATATGAAGCTGTTTGAAGGACCAAACTTAGAATATTTTATTGCAAATTCAGCAGTTAATATAAATAACCAACTTGAAACATCGCATAATTTGACGAATGAAGTTGAACCACATCCATACGTCAGTAGTTTGGAAGTTTCAGGTCATAAAAGAAAAGGTAAGAATAATGATATATATATAAATTATCAAACAATGGATAACCAAATAAGTTTTTATGAGCCATATAATGCAGTTAGGCTATTAGTATACCACCAATCACATTTTAGCCATAAAGTAGATGTAAATGCATAGATTATCTCTCAACACACTACCATATTTTGTAACACAGAATTTCTTGTCCGTTGTCAGTGTAATATGTTTTTACTAAATAAAGTGGATCTTTCTCTGGTGTTTAATCTTATATTACAGCTCAAAGGATATTCTCTAACTTGACCACATATTATAAAAGTCTGACATATCTGTTTTCTCCTAAACTTCCAGCTTATTAACAAATGAGGTTATATAAGGAGAATTTCTTCACCAATCGTCAAGTGCTGTTTTTTATCTTTTTTTAGAGATACACTACTTATGATACAAGACAAATTTAGTAAGAATATTCTGATGATATTTCATGACACCAATGTTTATTTGCTTGTTATTAATGTAACATAATCTACGTACAAAAAGGGACCATTTGGTCCTTCAAGTCTATCCTTACACACCCAATTCACCCTCGAGAAATGTAAAAATTTAAACCCACCACTTATTTTCTGCTCTTAAACTCCTGTAAAGTACTGTCAGTACTGCTGGCTACAACTCATTTTGTAAGTCAGTCACACTGTTACAAATATAAAACCATCTTAACTAGGTCCCAGTCTTTTTTCTAAATATTAAGTCTTCATCCTTTCTTCCCACTATCTTTAGACTACATGTCAAAGAAATCAGGAGCCTTTATCATATCAATCCCCCCAGTTATCCTTGTAAACTTCAATATTATCATACAGTCATAGTCTCATGAATGGTACCTTTGGAACAATGTTTAAACCTGCAGTTCTTCTCGTAACGAAACGTATGCAAGTATTCCTAAACAATATTTTGTGGCAGGAAACACATAATTCTCTTTTTTTTTTTTTTACAAAATGATATAAGCTCTTAGAGTCAGTTGTAAAATGTGTTAAATAAATCTAAGAGTACTCTAGTAAAGGTAAAAGAGCTTAATACATTCATAATCTACTGACTGTAGTTGTACGTTCCATCGTTTTGTGTAACAGATTATATAAGCACTGCTTTCTACCTTAATCAAAGAATATAAATCAACAAGGTAGCCAAGAATGTTTGTTTTAGTATTTTTAGAAGCTATAATTTTGTAATATATGTTATATATTCATATTGATTTTTTTTTTTCCCATTTGCGTGTAGATTTCTATAAAATGTTTAGTTTCTGTAAAACAGTAAAATACATGCTGTATTCTGTATGGTGATAATTATACAACTCAACTGGTTGCTTATTTATTTACCAGAATGGACTTTTGTTTCAGTGTTTTTTGAAACCTACGGTTGTCAGATGAACGTGAATGACACCGAAATCGCATGGTCTATTCTCAAAAATGCCGGTTTCGAAAGGACAGAAGAAATAAAACAGGTAAACGTGTCTAAATAGGTCTACACAGTAAACTATTGTTACCCAGCATATATTTAAATTGAGGGAGACAGTATCTTCTGATGTTACCTGTATATATTCTTATAATTTGTTGGCTTCTGCATCAGGTTTTGTTTTCTTAAAATTCTAAATAACTCAAAGTTATTAGTGGTTCATTACCTAAACAGAAGGACTGAATAATCCATAAGCTTCAAGTTGTTTGGATGGCTAGCAGTTTGATAACTTTAAAAAGAAGTAGAAATTATGTAAGACAAAGATATTTGCCAAAGATTAAAAAAATTTGAGATGCCCTTTTCATAACGATAAAAGACAGCGTAAAACTGAAGATAAATCATAATAAAATAAGTCTTATTATTTCTAATATAAATTGCTGTTCAAGTGAAGGGAGGTTCCCCCCCCCCACATCCCTAAAAACTATAAAATAATATAGAATACACTGATTACACATACTATCATCGAACTAATAACGACATATAATAAGTAGGAAGTGTTAATATTCCCAAATAACAATGATAAAACAATTATCTTGAACAACAGCGTGTCCAAAGTTTACATGCAACATCCAGGTGTGGCCAAAGTTTACACTTCTTGTTAAATTGATTGTTGTCAGTTTCACAAACGACAAGAAATGACTTTAAAGAATCATGGTTTTCCTCCATAAGAGGGAATGGCTAGAAATGGATGTAGAAGAGACAGTGAAATTTATCAAATGTTTAGAGTAAGGATGGGTAAAAGAATGAAAAGAAATATGGCATTAGCATTTAGCTTGTTCTTTTAATTGATTATTTATTGTGGTAATTTCTCTTAAATCCATTTTCTCAATAGGTGATACAGTTTGGTGTCATAAGATCCATATTTTATTTTTCTGCCAGAGACAACCTTTAGCAGTTACGTTTTGCAATAACTTGGAGAATAAAATAAAACAAAAGCTTGTATTACAATTAGAAATCACTAATCCATCAGTTGTGTACTCTCACTGTTAGTGGTATTCTTGGCCATAATCCTAATAATATCTCATGAGGTGCTGTCAGCTTAGAAGATTTAAGTTAGTCCTAATATACTAAGTTAACAAGGCAAAATTATCCCCATGAAAATGAAAAATGTATATATATATATATATACTCAAACATACATTTGAACCAGTACTGTTAATAAAACTAAATAAAATAATAATACTTATTATAATAATAAAATAATACTAAGTAAAAAATCGAATATAACTTACACAACATGAAAACTAGTTTATGCCATGTATTCTGACAGTTTCCTGTACAGGCTAAGATTGGTACATAATTAGGAGCTAATAACACTTCTCGTTAACAGATTCTTCATACAGAAGAAATAACTTCTTTGATCTATTATTATGTTCAGAATCGTAGGTAATCTTAGTCACAAACTTTCTTTCTTACTGACTGGGTTATACCTAGAAATTTAGTAGATTCTACACAAGGAGTATAATTCTTTCTTGTTTCTTCATTCAGGCAGATGTCATCCTGGTGATGACTTGTGCTATCCGTGAGGGAGCTGAACAAAAAATATGGAATAGATTACAGCATTTAAAGTCCTTAAAAAGACGTAGACAGAATGGAGGAAAAGGACCTGAATTGAAAATTGGAATTCTGGGTAGCTACAATATTCATGTACTTCCAGCACACGTTAAGATGTTGTATTTCAGAGCATTATATTTTTATTGTGTTTTTTTTATGGTTAACGTTTCTGATCAATGAAAACATACAAAAGTTTCAAATTGTACATTAAAACATTTTAATAAGATAAAGAATGCTAATTGTTTTATAGTGAGTTCTTCTTTGTAAGTTGTGGAAAAAATCTAGGACATTGCACTAGCAGGTTTAACTTGTTCTAAACCATAATTACTTATAGTTACTAAAGCAATCTTGCTTTTTTAGGACTGTATTTAACACGCATTTAGGATAACGTAAAATATCACAAAGACACGAAGCAGCAGATAAGCAAAAATTTAACTTTGAATTTCATTTTCACTGTGAATTACTTTCAAAGCAAGACGTAAAATCATTTTCACTGTGGATTACTTTCAAAGCAAGACGTAAAATCATTTTCACTGTGAATTACTTTCAAAGCAAGACGTAAAATCATTTTCACTGTGGATTACTTTCAAAGCAAGACGTAAAATCATTTTCACTGTGGATTACTTTCAAAGGGAGACATAAAATCATTTTCACTGTGGATTACTTTCAAATCGAGACGTAAAATCATTTTCACTGTGTATTACTTTCAAAGCAAGACGTAAAATCATTTTCACTGTGGATTACTTTCAAAGCAAGACGTAAAATCATTTTCACTGTGGATTACTTTCAAATCGAGACGTAAAATCATTTTCACTGTGGATTACTTTCAAAGCGAGACGTAAAATCATTTTCACTGTGGATTACTTTCAATACGATACATAAAATCATTTTCACTGTGGATTACTTTCAAAGCAAGACGTAAAATAATCTAAAAATGTTTCAGTTTCTAAAAGAATATTGGGTTAAACATCGTACATAAATCCAATGTAACCTAGTATTACGAAAGTAATATCACATATAAAGATTAAAATAGATACCTCATGATTCAGAATTCGTACATCATTTACATGAAATTTATTGAAGTTCAGTCTTCAGTGAGAACTGTTTTAAATTTATCTGCCTTCCAAAAAAAAACTATTATTAATATTGTAATAAACGTTACGATATGCAATAAAAGTACAGATATATTTAACAATTTTTTTCAATGTTTATTAATCCAATATCTTTTTTTAGAAATAGAGATACTCCAAGTTAGACGTGAGAAGTTCTCTCTTTAAAAGTAGTTCCAAGTGAATTATTATCATTAAAACAAAATTCAATGAAGGTATAACTGTTGAAGATCTTGTCAGCATTGATGAACTTTCGTCATTCTGTTAATAGCTACTTATAAAATATGATAAGTTGGTATGATCAACAGGCTGACTACAGGCTTCGCCTATAGCCGTAAGAAGATAAATAAACATCATTCATCATTCTGTTAATGGCTACTTATAAAATATGATAAGTTGGTATGATCAACAGGCTGACTACAGGCTTCGCCTATAGCCGTAAGAAGATAAGTAAACATCATTCATCATTCTGTTAATGGCTACTTATAAAATATGATAAGTTGGTATGATCGACAGGCTGACTACAGGCTTCGCCTATAGCCGTAAGAAGATAAATAAACATCATTCATCATTCTGTTAATGGCTACTTATAAAATATGATAAGTTGGTATGATCAACAGGCTGACTACAGGCTTCGCCTATAGCCGTAAGAAGATAAATAAACATCATTCACCATTCTGTTAATGGCTACTTATAAAATATGATAAGTCGGTATGATCAACAGGCTTCGCCTATAGCCGTAAGAAGAAAAAAAAATCCTACTACCCCTAATCTTAGAGTCAAATAATCTCATAGTTTCTCTTAAGAGACTGGAAGAACAGACACTATAAAAATAATTTAAGAAAATACCGCTCCTGTTATCAAAATAAAAACACAATCTTATGTGGGTAACTTTATTAGTAATTTGCCCAATTGTTTTGATTTTTTATTTTACCCACATATAGATTAGTTATTTTCATTCACACGTGGGTAAAATAAAAAAGCGAGACAATCAGGCAAATTTATTAACAAAGTTACCAATATAAGATTGTGTTTTTATTTTAATAACAGAAGCGGCATTTTATTAAATTGTTTTCATCGTGTCTGTTCTTCCAGTCTCTAAGAGAAATTGTATTTATGATTGTATATATGTGTGTGTATATATATCGTAGGCTGTATGGCTGAAAGGCTGAAGGAAAAACTTATCGTAAAGGAAAGAATGCTCGACATCGTTGCCGGCCCTGATAGCTATCGTGACTTACCTCGTCTCCTGGCAGAAGCTGCTGACGGAAAAACAGCAGGTACTGTTGGTGTCGTTACTGTCAAATATCGTGATGTATATTTAAGATTATATCGTTTGAACAAATGAAACGGTTTTCTGAGATTACAAAACAAATAAAATTTCTAATGTAAATTCGGCTTTGCCTTATTGCAGAGTTACATATCTCTTAAACAAAACACAAAAAATAAGTGACAGGCATAATAATTTATTTTCTGATTCAACATCGTCACATCTAATTATAATCATTTTTGTGTAAAAATAAAAACCGTATATATGTTTAAAACATGGCTGTAGTCTACAAAACCAAATAAGCCTTGAAAATCTCAAACCATTAAAGGATTTTTACTAAACTTTCAAACATTGGTTACTCAGTTATTTATCTAACTTACTTTACATACAACTTGAAGTTTTAATCGGGGAATGCTAGATTAAAACCAATTTTTCTTTTCCTCTCTAGTTAATGTATTGCTATCTTTAGAGGAAACATATGCAGACATTGTTCCAGTTAGGCTTAATCCTGGCTCATCTTCAGCATATGTGTAAGTTTTTATCGTATATTCATTTATTAGATTACATCTTCCCAGTATATTTTTCCTCAATATCAAAGTACATCAAATATTTTGAGTTAGGTTGTTTTTTATTTAGAGTAGGGGTTGGTTACTTGCAGATGTGATGGATGCAGTAAATTTAAGGAAAGGCTTAATAAATATTTAAATGATAAGGGTTAGCTTTGAATATATATATAATTTGTTTAAGTTTAGTGGATGGGATGGCCACGATGGGCCAATAGTTCTTTATTGTCTTACAGAATTTGTAGTTCCTACTGGAGAGATTTAGACATTTTGGCAATGAAATTAGAAAGAAAATTAGCTTTACTATCCAGATAATAGAAAAACAAACTTATTTCAACCATGAGGCTACTGTACTACTAGCCTTGATGAAGTTGTAATGACAAAACATTGGCCAAAATTAATTTTTTCTATTATTATCATTTTTTGAAGAGTAAAGGCCGTTTTTTTTTCTACCTTTATTGACAAAAATGTTCTTTTTTGTTCTTATTAGATGATACCACATTAACAGTAGTAAAACGTTGTGTCCTGTGGTGTATATTTTTTTATTATGGCTGTTCCTGTTTACACTTTTTTACTTGATGTTTTGAATAGTTTTCTTTTTATGTTGTTCTGCGAAGCTTCTGAATCCACAGCATGAAATAGTGTGCGAGGAAGATAACACAGACCTGCAATAATTTTATTGTCTTGAAATTTTTACATGTTTCACATAAAATCATAATGCAATACATAAAACAAAACCACAACACGTAGTTTGAGACTAAAAGACTTAGATTTCACAAAAAAAATGAGGATACATATTCGTTTGACATCAGTGTTCTTCCTTTTTCTTCAGTTTGTTTGTACTTTTGTTAACAAAAATAATAATAAAAAATGTTCGTTGTGATGAATTAAATATTAATTTGATTTTAGTAAAAGTTTTTTTCTATCCAATTTGTAAAAGAATCCTTACGTGATAGGAAAAAAATTAATATTATTTTCGAAATCTTCAAAAATTATTTTCTGTTAAAGTACTGAAGTTAAGTTATCTAACATGCCATTATTGTTTTAATGTTATGTACTTTTTATTTGCTTTCCTAATGTTAATAACACCAAAAGTCTATACGTATTTCAGTAGTGTTTCATGTTCCTGCATGTAAATAATAATTTAATAAATTCTCATCTACTTGTGAAAGTATAATGTCAAAATGAGCAGGGGATGATCACAGAAATGTATAGGCAAGGATGATCTTTCTCACCAAATATCATGGCATAAGCTAACTCATAACAGTGATTTTAGTTTTGGACTTCAGGGTTAAACTGTTAAATTCTTTAGAAATTTACATTTCAATTTTTAGAGTAATAATTGAAAATCTTATAAGGGTTAATCAAACAAGTTTTAAATTACTGTAACCCACCTTTATAACTTAGTTTCCTAGTCAATGATGTCAATTTCTCATCACAAATGTGAAAAGTACTTCCCACAGATCGTATACGTCCTTAAGTGATAGCCCTGAAATTTATCTGATTTATCAGTGTGATAACCTATAGAGTCATTTACCGTAAAATAATCAATTGACAGTCTTAAATTTTCATCCATATTTAAGAACTAAAAAGATGTTGCCGTACTATATTTGATGCATGTCTTTTTTTTTAAGAATGTGTTATTGTTCTTATATTTTCGTGTTTTTTTTTGTATATTTAGTTCAATAATGAGGGGATGCGACAACATGTGTAGCTACTGTATAGTTCCATTTACACGAGGTAGGGAGCGCAGCAGGCCAGTTAGTACCATACTGGATGAAATAAAGATACTTTCAGACCAGGTAAGTCATGCAAATTAGTTTGTTTCTATAAGATTGTAGTTACTGTATAGTTCCATTTACACAAGGTAGGGAGTGCAGCAGGCCAGTTAGTACCATACTGGAAGAAATAAAGATACTTTCAGACCAGGTAAGTCATGCAAATTTAATTTTATTACAGGTTTTTTTTTATTTTCTGTGGAAAACTTGCATGCGCAGGTTATGAAAAAGCATTATGTATATTTTTCTACTCACCCTTTTGCTGCAGGGTCCGTGGGATGTTAGCTGTTTGTATGTGTGTTGCGCTGTAGAATCTATGACAAGTAATAACTCTCTTCTTTTGTATCACTTCAGAGGAAATCTTCAAGTTATCTAATGGCTATATTATATGTTGTGTTGATCACGCGACCACCACATATCTTCAGCTGGATAATGTGAGTTCATAGAAACTGGATGCTCGTAAAGTGTGTGGTATATAAAGATGAATGAATTAAGTAACTGCTAGCAGTATGATTATAAGTGTCGCGCAAGTAACTTTTCAGTATTACTAAAAGGTTAATGAATCCAACATTACAAAACAAATGATTCTAACATGAAATCCCTCCCCCTCCAGTGGTAAACCTGAAAGTTTATAATGCTATCACAGTACAGATACTTTAATAAGTATGTATTGTTTTTCAAGATGTAAGAAGAAAAACTGATAAATGATAATAAAGAATGTATTTATTTTGTGCAACTCTTTGAGCAGGTGTCTTTCATCAGATAGTAAAGGCTGTGTTATAATAACCAAAAGTTCATTCATTATTTAGTTATTAATTTTTAAAATAGGAAAGATAATTTGTGAACCTCTCTGTACTACGAAGTGACGTACAAAATTGTCCTTTAACATTCATTTAGCCAGAAAATCGAAGTCATGCTTTAAAAATTTTTTTTGTTTTGATAGCATATAATAATAGATAAATTAAAAAGGGGTCATTTAATCATTTCTAGGGTATCAAGGAAGTTACTCTTCTGGGCCAGAATGTTAACAGTTACAGAGACACTTCTGAAATGAAATACTCTACAGTAGCGCCATCTGTTAGATCAGGCATGTCGGAAATGAGTCGAGGTTTTCAAACTGTGTATAAGCCCAAACTTGGAGGTTTCAGGTTTGCTGATCTTTTACATAAAGTTTCTTGTGTAGACCCTGAAATGAGAATCCGCTTCACATCTCCACATCCAAAAGATTTCCCAGATGAAGTAGGTTTAACAGCGTCGTTTTTTATTCTTTCAAACAAATTGCAAAATATTTTTGTAGATATAGTGTGGTATGTAAAAAAAAAAAACCTAATTTACTTTACATTGAGATAAATAATGAAATTCTATTTTAAGGTAGTGTATATCTAGTGATGACGAGGTAGTGTATATCTAGTGATGACGAGGAAGTGTATATTTAGTGATGACGAGGTAGTGTATATCTAGTGATGACGAGGAATCCAATTTGAGACGATGAAAATTAAAGATGGCTTGAACGGGTAATGAAGAAAATTTATTATAAGTTTAACATCGTATCAAATTTACAATGTTTCCTGATGATGACAAAACCTTGTAGAAACATTGTACGTTTGTTACTGTGTCAAACTAGTAATAAAGTTTTCTTCATTACCCATTCAAGCCATCTTCAACTTTATAGTATTGGCTCTAATGGACTGCACCTGTCTGTTCCTCGAGCAGGACAATATTAGGCCTCAGTAAAGAAGACGAAACGCCGTCCACCTCTAGAAACAGTGAACCTAAACGACAAATTATAGTGTTTTGAATGTAGTTTATGTAAACTTTAATTGTTTTAGTTTGTTTAATTTTGCATTTCATTACTTTTTTACTGATTTTAATTTTCTATTCCTTGATCTTCTTTTTCTGTTGTTAATTATTGTTTCGTTTTATTAAACAGTTGTTGCACGTTATAAGAGAACAGGCAAACATCTGCAAAGTCCTACATCTTCCGGCACAAAGTGGAAGCTCTGAAGTGTTGCAACAGATGAGACGAGGATACACTCGAGAGGCCTATCTGGACCTGGTATCACACGTTAGGTCCATTGTTCCTGGTAAGGCAAAACAGTCGGGGCCACTACCCCAATACGGAGAACTTGTGGGCAGAAAATATTAGTATTTTGTTCCGATTTACAGTGTCGCGAATAGTGATTAGGAAAAATGGTCATGGAATAGTTGAGTGAAATCTTCAGCATCGACTTACGTACTTATAATTGTCCCCGTCTTTCTTTTTATTATTTATTTTTTCTTAACGAACATTGAGTTGTTGAAAATGTATATCATTATGTCATGATGAAATACTTTCAGACTATAAAATTATTGTTTAGGTTGTAGATTGATAAAAAATTGAGTCAGTGGTTCCCAAAGAGATCATTGACATGGTATTAGCTCTACCTGATTTTAGCATAATTAGTAAGAACTGTTGTAGAGAAGTAAGGGGTGTTGCAAAATCAATCATACTTCTTACCCTGAAAGCATAAAAAAAGTGAAATAAGGTTTTAATTCAATCAAAAAGTAATTCCAAGTATCAATATCGCTTGATTGGGACACCATTGTTCTCACGCACGAGTTTTAATCAAGTTGTAAAAGATTTCAGCAATGCAACAAACATGTCTGATTTTGTGACTGTCTCTGTGAGCACATCAGTGAGAACACGAATCAAGGTTTCATGTATGTGTCTCTCGTATTCAAGCAAAGTTTCCAACATTTCTTCTGTGCATTGTTGAAAGAAAGCTCCGAATTGAATTCTCAGAGGATGTCTTTGACTAGTTTCTGAGCCATCCCGAAGACAGCACATGTGATTCGAATCCGCAACCCTCAGATTGCGAGTCGAGCGTCCTACTTTTAAAGTGAACACATAAATTGTCTATAGCTGAGAGTTATACGTTCTGTATGCCATCTTTGGGTTTTTACTTTGTTACTTCTGACACCTCTCTAATTTTATCTCTGCTTAGCTTGGCAGTAGTGAACTACTGAAATGATAAAAATCAACATTAATAATTTTAGGTTTTTAGTTTTTTTTGGAATAGTTAAATTACCTTCTATGCGATTAAATAAAAAGTACAAAAAGAATTATGACTTAATATGTTTCCAAGTCAACTATAATTATAATTTGTTTTAACAGGTGTTGCTGTGACAAGCGACTTCATGTGCGGCTTCTGCGGTGAAACCGAAACAGATCACAGGGAAACATTGTCTCTAATAGATCTGGTCAAGTACAACTTTGTGTACGTCTTCCCGTATAGTATGAGACAGGTATTCCTCTTATCTACCTCTTCAAGAATCTTGTTAATTTTTGCATCGAACCGTACAAAAACTGAATCATTTATTCATTAAAACCATATTTGGAGTTCAATAAAATACAGGAAAGCTTATGTTGTAATCTTCAAATCTTATTAATAGACCATGTGAGAGAAAAAAAAAAGAATTGATTTACTCTGTGTTTCTTTTTTGTGTCTTTATCAGTTTTCAGATTATATTTCTAGCTGTTCGTGTATGTATTTTATAAGATATCTTAGGGAAGGGAGTACTAAGAATATCAACTGTTAAAAGTTAAACACTGAGATAAAAATATACAAATCTCATTAATGACTTCTTATACTGATATTCACGTTGTTATCAATTAAATATGAAGAATTATGAACAATAAAAATAAAATGATTTTATGCAAGCTTCACATCAGAGATATCATCGGGGAGGGGGCTCAACAGAAGCTGCCACCTCCCAAGTTCAGGAGGGAGATCCCCAAACAGTGGGTTTTGTGAAACATCTCAAGTCAGGCTGGATTGACAAATACGTATAGCACAGAGCCCCCCCTGCTAAACTTGTGGGGGGGCTGTGATGGTAGCCTTCATTGCCATCCCCCTGGCATTTTGTGTTGTGATGCTAGCAGCTTTTTCAATGTTTCTTTCATCAGTTGTTTTTCTATTGCAGTGAAAATATTATTATACACAATATAATTTTATTAAGAACAGTTTCGTTTGATATCAGCTTTATTAAGTATGGTTTTGTTTGATATCAATTTTATTAAGAACAGTTTTGTTTGATATCAGCTTTATTAAGTACAGTTTTGTTTGATATCAGCTTTGTTAAGTACAGTTTTGTTTGATATCAGCTTTGTTAAGTACAGTTTTGTTTGATATCAGCTTTGTTAAGTACATTTTTTTGATCTCAGCTTTGTTAAGTACAGTTCTGTTTGATATCAGCTTTAGTTAAGTACAGTTTTGTTTGATATCAGCTTTATTAAGTACAGTTCTGTTTGATATCAGCTTTGTTAAGTACAGTTTTGTTTGATATCAGCTTTGTTAAGTACAGTTTTGTTTGATATCAGCTTTGTTAAGTACAGCTTTGTTTGATATCAGCTTTGTTAAGTTCAGTTTTGTTTGATATCAGCTTTGTTAAGTACGGTTTTGTTTGATATCAGCTTTGTTAAGTACGGTTTTGTTTGATATCAGCTTTGTTAAGTACAGTTTTGTTTGATATCAGCTTTGTTAAGTTCAGTTTTGTTTGATATCAGCTTTGTTAAGTACGGTTTTGTTTGATATCAGCTTTGTTAAGTACGGTTTTGTTTGATATCAGCTTTGTTAAGTACAGTTTTGTTTGATATCAGCTTTGTTAAGTACGGTTTTGTTTGATATCAGCTTTGTTAAGTACAGTTCTGTTTGATATCAGCTTTGTTAAGTACAGCTTTGTTTGATATCAGCTTTGTTAAGTACAGTTTTGTTTGATATCAGCTTTGTTAAGTACAGTTCTGTTTGATATCAGCTTTGTTAAGTACAGCTTTGTTTGATATCAGCTTTGTTAAGTACAGTTTTGTTTGATATCAGCTTTGTTAAGTACGGTTTTGTTTGATATCAGCTTTGTTAAGTACAGTTTTGTTTGATATCAGCTTTGTTAAGAATGGGGTTGTTGTTTTATCTGAAGTACATCATCTGGATTATTTCAGTCAAGTTTCTTTGGTTTCAAATCAGCATTTCCATTAAAATAAAGGCTGTTAGACATATAATCATCAATGTTTCAAATGCTATTATTTATAACAATGGATCTGTTGTGACATAGTGGTCATTGTGTCAGACTGACCGGAGAAACGCTGCACCTTGGGGATGAGGGTGTGCCATAAGTGATGGCCAATCACATTATTTAATCTGACTACCCCAAGAGTTGGCGGCAGTGCCGTCAACTAGCCACCTTCCCTCTAGTGTATAAGTTCAAAATTAGGAATGACTAGTCAGATAGCCCTTGTAGGCAGCTATTTGCAAGTATCTTATACAAACTCAATTAAATTGTAAACAACCCCCAGTTATGTGCATGCAGGAAAAGCTCTCAGCAGATCTGTTTCTCCGACTCAATATCCAATAAATAATTGAACAAACACTAAGAAATAATTTGCCAAACACGTAGAGAAAGTCATGAAAACATTAATGAAATAGTATGCATGTTGGATGCTCTGGGAATTGGAGGTTGAACTTAATGAGATAAACTTAAAGATTCAGAAACGAGTTCTCAGTTTTTAATCTCGCAATATAGTTTTATTTATCAAAATAGGAATGAATTAACTATTTTGAAACACACTTTACAAAACAAAATTGATAGTGTCACGTAATTATTTCCTTTTTGGTTTGTCGTTTAGAAAACTCGGGCTTTCCATCATCTCGAAGATGATGTACCAACAGACGTGAAAGCAAGACGAGTCAGTGAGGTTGTTGACCTTTTTCGTAAGATTCTGTCGGATTTAAATAGAAACCAGATTGGAAAACGTCAATTAGTACTAGTCGAGGGTGTGAGTATAAAACTTTTATCTACTTGTACATAATCTTACACAAGGTAACATATGCTATTGTATCATCATACTTTGCTTATCTTCCATACTTATTAAAGCCTTTTTTTTCAGCGTATATTTCATTGATGTTTGACCATTTTGTACATGTAAACTTTTAATTTTTTATATTTTAGGCTTTTCTTTAACCTAAGAATTCAAAACTCGGGAAGTTGATGATAAATAGTTCAGACGTACGTGATGCTTTGGTCACTACTAAAAATATCAAATGAAGAAGAAAATGTTATTTATTTTTCTAGAAAAGTAAGAAATCGGATCGTTACTTGGCTGGACGAAATGACAGAAACACAAAGGTTATCTTTCCATCAGTACCTATCCCTAATGGCTCAACGTCCACAGACTTATTAACTATCTCACCAGGAGACTATGTTGTGGTGGAGGTAAGGCATTATTTTCTTACATTAGTTGACAACTGTTTCACCAGGAGGCTTTGGTGTACTGGAGGCAAGGCATTATTTTCTTACATTAGTTGACAACTGTCTCACCAGGAGGCTTTGTTGTACTGGAGGTAAGGCATTATTTTCTTACATTAGTTGACAACTGTATCACCAGGAGACTATGTTGTACTGGAGGTAAGTCATTATTTTGTTACATTAGTTGACAACTGTCTCACCAGGAGACTATGTTGTACTGGAGGTAAGTCATTATTTTGTTACATTAGTTGACAACTGTCCCACCAGGTTAGTTATTATCATGAAGGTAGTCTCAGAAGGTGTTATTAGTGTGTTCCCCCTTTTTTACATAAGTTTTTCATAATTAAAAAAAAAAGCTGAAAAATTATTTTTCTGTAGAAGAAATTAATGTTATTTTTTTTCAAAGAAAGAGGATATATTATGTACCTGTGTTCTTTGTTTTTGTTCCAGATCCAAGAATGTAGTTCCCAAGTTTTAAAAGGAAACCCCCTGTACCATACAACACTACAGAAGTTTGCATTTTTGTAGGATAATGCCAAGGAATGGGCCGTATCAAATTTTTCATTAAAAACTTACGAAGTTGTTGTTAGAGAAGTCTTTAATTTACCAAATGTAAGGAATTACTTGCAGTATTTCTCATAATAAACAAAAAATAGATTTTTCTTTATTTATTGTGATTAAGAAGTATAAAAACAAATATCAGCATATCTGTTGAAATCAACTTATCTTTCCTCAGTCTAAACTATCTTCGAAGAGGAAATGCAAATAAATCATCTGGTTCCGTATGGCAAGAGACAAAAGTTAGAAGTAAAAACATATTTCTGGTGCTTTCTTCATCTATTTTTTTTTTTTTTGTTTTAAATTTCGTGCAAAGCTACACGAGGACTATCTGCACTAGCCATCCCTAATTTAGCAGTGTAAGACTAGAGGGGAGGCAGCTAATCATCACCACCCACTGCCAACTCTTGGGATACTCTTTTACCAATGAAGAGTGGGATTGACCGTTACATTATAATGCTTCCACGGCTGAAAGGGCGAGCATGTTTGGTGGGACGGGGATTCGAACTCGCAATCCGCAGATTGCGAGTCGAGCGCCCTAACCACCTGGCAAATAAAATGACATGATCAAATTTTCAGATCAGTTTATGAGGGTATTTTGTTGTTTTTAATTTTTAAAAAGAAAGAACAATTTAGACAAATCCAAGTGCAATGTTTCAACACCACTTTTTAAGACAGTTCCAAAGGTAATGACGTCTCACCAATAATTTTCTTCAAGAAATAAAAAAAAGTTGTCGAAAGTAACACACCTTTATACTTAAAACTTAATAATGGATTTCTACCTTAATAATATGAAATAATAGGAACACCACAAGAAATTCCGATTAAACACTTGCTATTAATAGGGTAAAAATGATAATCAAGTTGAAAAAGAATAAAATACATTGAATAATGGAAATTTATATAATTTCTTAACTTTTAAGTAGATATAATAAGAATTTGACCAGATTGGTCTATTCTTATATTACAGTTCAAAAACAAAATAAACACGATAAAAAAGATTAACGACAATTACGATAAACAACATTGTTTATTTATAACACAAGGGGACACTGATAAACGTTTCGGAATTCAACAGATTCCATCTTCAGTATCTAAAGGAAAATAAAATAACTACGTCATTCCTAAGTAAGTAACTTTAACATATAGCTATAACAACAGTAATTAGGTTTGTGTCCTGTTTCTTCATTATATTGATTAGTTTTTAAACCCACATTCCGCATACAGGATTTTTTCCATACTAAAGACCTTCTTCCAATTTCTCATTAATCGTGGTTTGTCTTTACACGTGTGAAGACTGTAACGCCTCCTATGTTGGCAAAACCAAACGCCATCTACTAGTTAGAGCCAATGAACAGATGGGAATTTCCATGGAAACACAAAGTTGAATAACCCTTGCGTTTCCTCTATAGAGCAACACGGTAAAGAAACGACACGTAAACCTAACTTATCAAATTTCAATAATCTTTGCAAAGCCAACACTGATTAAAGAAACCCTCAGCATCAAACAACTTTCACCAGCACTGAAAAACATGCAGTCTTCATTTAAATTACACATTTTCTAATATGTACAATATTTTGTTTATTACTCATCTCATTTTTAAGTTGTTGTAGTTTTGATTAAATTACTGTTATTATACCTATGTGTTTTAGTTACTTACTTAGGATTGATGTTATTGTTTTATTTTGCTTTAGATACTGAAGATGGAATCTGTTGAATTCCGAAACGTTTATCTGTATCCCCTTGTGTTATAAATAAACAATGTTGTTTATCGTAATTGTCGTTAACCTTTTTTATTGTTAAGCTTCGTTTTCCTGCGAACACATCAATTGAAAATAAATGCATTAATTAAATGTCATGGTTTCTATTTTAATGCATCTTTCGACACGAGCCTATTGTCAGCATCTTTTAAAATTTTGAGGTAAACTTTCAGCTGAAACCATTTTTCATCTCGGAATTTAATATATATTTACAGGATTATTAATATATAACTTAACTTATGCAAAATGAACATTTATTTATGTTTGCTTGATTACAAAATATATTATACATACTAACGTCAAGGAGTTTCCATGTCACTTCGAGTGCTGACTTTGATGGTAAAACAAAAGCGTTTAGGCCTATAAAAAAGTACCCTAAATGAACGGAAAACCTATATAATGATGAGTCGTTAAAACAAAAGGGCTTATTTAGTCACCACGTTAGAGACTGGTGGATAGTTCTTTTTACAGATCTTACGTTAATATTAATGTAAACTCAAAATCAAGGACTAAATAAACCTAGATAACCGAACTTCCAAGTATTTATTCTCCATCTATTGAGAGATAACTGAACTTCCAAGTATTTATTCTCTATCTATTGAGAGATAACTGAACTTCCAAGTATTTATTCTCCA